TTTTCAATAATATTATATAATATTGTACAATAAAATATTATTTCACAAAAAAAGATTCTCAACCTGGCAATTCGAAAAATTATGAAACTTTGGGAATATGTAGATAGATATATATTACATAATTTTTTTTACTACGCGAATTTATTTTATGAATTAATTTTTGAAAATTCGACTATTTTTCGACGTTATAATTCGCAAATTATAAGAAATACAAGAAAAATTTTCAGACAAAAGTTGTTTTCAAGAAAAAATTATTATTTGATAAAATATTTATTAATTATATAATTAATAAAAGTTATAAACAAATTTTTTTTAAATATATTTTTCAACATAAAATTTTAATCAATAATCTAAATAACTATGCGATGGTATAAAAAAATACTTTTTATAATAAATACAAATTAATAATTAATTAATTAATTAAATGACAACTTATTAAAAATATAATTTTTTAACAAACACAGCTTTGTTATTAATTTTCGTTGCTGAATTTTCAAAAATAGAAAAATTTATATTATATATTTTTTATTCATTATAAGAATAAACGTTCGATTAACCTACCAGATAAGAATGCAAAAGAAAAAAGAAACTTATATATACAATTATTTTATAAAATCTTTTTATTTTTTTAAATATAATTAAAACTTCTTTATTTTTAGAGAAATAAAGAAAATATTTTGTAATGTCTTGGTGATGAAAATTGATTATGAATGAAAAACTATAATTTAATGATACTATTTTATATATATAGATTAATAAAATTATATAATACAAAACAAAATTAGAAAATTTCCAAATAAGATTCTTCTATATGCAAAAATATACATATCAATTCTATAGTTTTTTCGGTATTCTAAATATTTCTACATATTAATTAGATCGTATATTATTTTGTAATATATACATAAACATGACACATATATATATATATACATAAAATGACTAATTCAAGAATCCAATAATAAAACATTCCGAGATTCTGCATTAAATTTTTTTTTCATTAAACAATTCGTTAACAATTTGGAAATGTAAAAATTGCTATATAAACGTTTCGAAACGGTCGAAATAAAGATTTTTCTAAACGTGAAATCACTAAAGCGGAAAAAGAAATTTGCAGAAAGCAAATATTGTTAGAAGTATAATGTAACTAGATTACAGGAATACTTTTTATCCTTTATCATACATAAAAAAATAAAAAAGTTTTAACTACATTAAAAATAAAAAAATCTTATAAAATAGTTTCACATTACAAGTTTCTTTTTTCTTCTCTATTTTTATGTGATATGTTGAATATTTAATAAAATACAGAAATATATAACATAAATTTTTCTATTTTTAAAAATTCAGTAACGAAAATTAGCAACAGAACAAAACTATATTTATTGTATATATAAAAACAAAAAGTATTTTATAAATAGTTATTCATATAGTTATTTAGACAGCTGATTAAAATTTTACATTAAAATTAATTCAAAAGAATTATTAATTTTTTTGTTTATAACTTTTTTTAATTGTATAAACAATTAATAAATATTTTATCAGACGATAATCTTTATGAAAAGAAACATTTCATGATTTATTTCAACAATATTGAAAATTTTTTTTATATTTCTTATAGTTTGCGAGTTATAACATCGAAAAATAGCCGAATTTTCAAGGATTGATTTTATTCTAAAATGATTTCGGACACCAAAAAAAATTATATTATATATACTTACATAAGCATTACCTATATATTTTTAATGTTTCATAATTTTTTGAATTTTCGGATTGGAGATTTTTCATCATTAGTTACATCTAAGATACATCTAGAATAAGTATTATTTACAAGCAAGATGGAAAATAATATTGTACTTCTCATGTATTTTAATCATAATTTAATAATTACGATTAATATCGTAATATATTCAAATTCATTTATTGAAAATTATTATTCAAAATTGAATTTTGAAAAAAAAAACAAAATAACAAGAGAAAATAGTTGTTAGAAATAAATTAATTTACTTATATTTAATATTTTTATAATTTTTTAAATTTTCAAATTTTTTTTTAATATTTTGTCTGTTTATACGTATACGATATATATATAGAACAAAAGATTTTTTTATTTTTATTAAGTTTAAATTAAATATTATATCTAAATTATTAAATCAAAATCTCTGATTTTCGCACAATTGGTATTTCAGTATATAGAGAATAAAATCCCATAAGACGATAAGTTTATTTTATCTGTTAGAAACTAAAAATATGTTAAACAAGTGTAACGGAAAAAAAAAGAAAAGAATGAATTATTAACGATAGAGGAAATTAAATTGGAACATTCGGCATGTTATGATACAAATATTTGAAACTTGATGGTAAAGAAATAAATTATCTATCAACTTACATACCACTCGTATACAATATATCACATATCAACAATTTTATTTAATGTCGTTTTATTTAACATACAAGAGCTATTTTTTAAACACGATGCACGATTTTAAAATGCATACGAGTTCGCACATATTAAATAAGTCTAGGTTACACTGATATGACATTTCGTTACGTTAAAACTGTACACAAAAAGAGCGCGCAAACACGAGACTATTCGTTTCTCGATGGCCTTGATTGGCTGCTTTTCATCGCATCTCGAGCGTTCCTCGCAAGATTTTATTATTATATCGCGATTTTCTAGTTAAACGATCATTCGCTCTTTACCTTCTTTTCATTTCAATATAATAAGTCGCAAAATAATTTTTATAATGAGATATCGTTATAAACATTGAACAGCAAAAATAGCCGAAAAGCGCAAACATTCGAATAAATTTTGGTCCGATTCGATTTCTTCTTCGTTTTCTAAAAAGGAAGAACTAAGTATCCCAAGCTCTTTGTTTCGATCGTGTCGAGTTTGTTATCGGTGTCACGCAATCGCGATATTATTCGAACGCGAGAGTACGCGATGAAGAACGAGAAACGATCGAGGCTCGCGCATCGGCGTCGCGCGTCACGGGAACATCGTACGAACCTGTCGTCGATACATATTGTCTCCAACGTACATTTACACGTACGAAATACAGTCTGCGATTTATCGACGATCGTTCTACATACGGTAGATACGACGCGCGTCTGCGTTCGCGTCTAATACGCGTATACGCGACAAGTTTAGCATTATTTAGACGGTAAACGGTTAGAGACGATATACAATAAAGACAATGAGTGTCGCATTGGAAAAATATATGTACGCGTTAGTTTAGGGAAGAAGGAATGATAAGACGAGGTTCTACGTGCGGGCGCGCGCGCGCTTCCCTCCAAGCACAGAGATATGTTTAATTTGCACGACAATTGGTTATTTCGTGTTACAACGATAACGATTAGTATCGACTCTGTGAGATATTAGATGCAAACAAATTATTGTTTGCGCTTATATCGTTTTACACGATTCATATACACACGCACCATCGCAAAATCTCTGTTCCCTTCGGTACTTTTATTATATCTTCTCTCATAATTATTTTTCTTTTTCATTCTTTTGTCTCTCTCTCTTTCACTCATAATATAACTATATGTACTTACATGTATTCAACAGTGCATATTTGCATCATTCTCACTTCGCTCTCTCTCTCTCTCTCTCTCTCTCTCTCTCTCTCTCTCTCTCTCTTTTTCTCGTTTTTTTGTTTAGCTTTTTTCTTTTTATAGTTCATAAGTAATAGGCTGTGTTTTATGTCGTTATCGTTGTTCCACGATATCGAGTCTAAAAACGAGCACGATACAAATGAATGATATCGTAGAACGCGTAACATTTTTTAATACTTGCATAATATTAAATTATATTGCAACAATATACAAAGCGAATAGATTCTCGAATAAATATGTACAAATAATTGAAAAACGAAACAGTGTATATCGAAAATAACAATGTAGATCGAGATATTAGAAACGAGATATGTTGAAATTTGGAGTATTTTTGGTTTCATTGCAGTTTTATTCGATAAAATATTTAATTTTTACGTGTTACGCGTAATACATAACGTAAAATATAATAAAGACATAGAAAAAGAATCAAGTAAAATGAAAATCTAGAATCTAGACGATTAAATGCACCAATATGATAGTTATTCGTACAAATAGAAAGCAGGGAAAGTTTTTTTTCTTTTTTTTCTTACGCACGATTGAATCTATCGATGAAAAATTAAACGAATCTGGTTTAATTCGTCATGAAGCTGCGCTATTTCGTAATCAAAGCTATCTCGTGGCAGAATAGGATGTATTACATAGCTTAATCGTGAATTTAATATCGTTCTTCTGTTCCCTTGAAATCGAATAAAGCTACACATTCCACGCATTGTTAGAGAAGGAGGGAAAGCGAAAATGATGGAGAAACAGAGAGAGAGAGAGAGAGAGAGAGAGAGAGAGAGAGAGAGAGAGAGAGAGAGAGA